AGGTACTATGGTATCTTAGTATCTTCTATAGAATCATTATTCATTAGTACTTCCAAAGTACTACTTCGTATAGTCGCATTACCTTCCTATCCAGGCCCCCCACATGATATTTTTGGCCCAGTTACAGAACTAAATCTGGGTCCCAGAACCAAGGGTACTTCTGATCCCCCCCTTGTAGTATCTCATATTATAGTTCACGAATATAGTTGGGTAAATTTATTATTAACCAAAGATAAATATAACATATTCTTTATTACGGAAAAATTATTTAAAAAACATGAGATCTACCCCTAGGTATCTAAGGGGTCGTCAACTTGTTTATCGTATTAAAAATTAATTGCACCAAAATATACATTGATCTGAAAGTGATGCGTAATCTTAATAGGGGACACTTTATGCATTCAAATTTGAATATAAAGTAAAGTACTTATTAACAAAGGAAAAATTTAATCTTCAAATGGACAATTAATAAAAAAAGCATGTTATCATTCATCAATAATTATTAATTTATCATTATTCTGCATATGGAATAATATAAATAATATACATACACTGGTCGATCACCAGATACCGACTTAAACTTTTAAAAGTACCTCATTTGTTGGAAAATGACTGGTGAACCCTGTGCAAGGCATCACTAGCTTCAAATTTAGTTTTAGATTCTAGACATCTCTAGTTGTGTACTTGTGTCTACGACCAATATAGTATAGTTATGGTAGGTATCATAATTCATAATAATTACTTTTGTATTATGGTTTATATTTGTGGTAAATGTCACATGCACTGCAGATTTTGTACACTTATTTACTTCACGTACCTATAAACCTATTATTATTATTATTTACTTTATGTACCTACCTAATATACGCAATGTTCAAGAGTAAACCAAAGTTACGCGTGCAAAAACATTAGTAGGTAAGTACATTACGTAAGGAATATTGCGTATTTTTTTTATTATTTAGATAATTTTATACTAATGATTATATCGATATGTGTGGTACACCTACTTTTATACGACGGCGACACCCAAGGGTCAATCAGAATGAAATGTTGCGGGTAATATCCACTAGAATAATTGGGCAGTTGTTGTGCAGCGCGTTCCGAGCCGGTGCATTCCGCGACCGCTGCTATTAACATTAGCTATATACATGTATATTATAAAAAAAAAACAAAAAAGAAACAAAATGATTGGCAGGATTATCGATTTATTGACGCGTGGTTTTCATAAATCATAATAGCTATATAGTCTTAATAATAATTATTAGGAGTTTCCTATATAAGTATATACTTAGGTTAAGTATAATAAATAGGTAGCTAGGTCGTAGGTACCAAAACTAATCCATAATAATGAGTAATCACTTATGAAAGTTACATACCTACAAATATGAAATTCTTAGAAAAATAATCAGCAGTTAATTTGAATTAAAAGTTTGCAGTATGCCGTTACAGAATATTCCTTAAATGCTAAAAAAAGTCTAAATACTTTAAAATACAGAAAAGGTTTGTTTTTTTTTTGGGGGTGGGGGGGGGATGGGATTTCTTGGTTTTGACTCTCTTTTAAATAATTAAAAATGTTGATGAATAGTATAGCATTTAATATCGGAACGATTTGTTATTAATACTATTATAGTTCATGGACTATAGGTATTTTGGAGTTGATAGTTCTTATATAGTTTTAATATAATACAAGAACGTCAAGAACCATATTATATTATTATACATGGAACGACCATGTTTTTATCCAGCCTTATCCCGGATATAACTATATAAGTATATTTTATTCTTATAAAAAGAAATTAAAAAGTGTAACATATTTTTAATTTCTTACTGTTATAGAAATAATAACATATTATATTTTATGTTTGATAATACCATATGTGTGTTTGAGTATAGACAGTACTTAATCAAAGATAATACATATAAAAGCTAATGGGAAAAATGCATGTTCCTACTTACGTTTAAAGAGCTGGAGTGGTTGTCAGCACGAATAGGTAGCATTATGGCGTAAAAGTAAAACAAACTTTATTATTGATATGATAGTGAAGCGTTATGATGAATTTTTCTCAATATTATGTAGGTAACACAATATATAGTCGGTAGATATCTAGCTAAGTGCTAAGTCTACCTCAGAACTTCAGTCGCAATTTAGGCTGTGGCTTTAGTATTCGAACGGTCCAGGATCTATGCACCATGCTTGGAGTCAAACCAGTTAAATATAAACCTAATCTATTTCGAACATAAATTCTTAAGAATATCGTAAAGCCAATATAGAGATTCCTATTTATCGACTTAGGAAAGAATAATAATCTATGTATGTATAAAGTAATAAATAATAATGAATGTAGTATGATCAAAATAAGTTATATTAATTATTATTATATTACCTAAGCGATCGCTTCAGCCAGTGGCGGACTGGGGGAAAACACAGCCCGGGAAAATCATAATTGTAGAGGCCCTCAATAAATTAACGGCCTTTTAAATATATAATATATTTTTTATATGTCATGTGGATGCCATAACGACCTATGTACCTAATAACTATTTTAGATTCTGAGCGGAGCGATGAATGTATTGTTTTTACAATGATTATAATATGTRTGTGTTTTTTTATTTTTTTGTGTCTGTCATCACCTTTTAAGATAGTAAAAACGCTTAGATGTTTTTCAACAGTATCTTTTCTGATAGGAAAGATAATCTAGTTGGTAGTTTTCCCATTAGTTTTCAAAAGTGCCGTGAAAAACAAAAGAAAAATTATGGAAAAACGGAATTTTTACGCAAAATCGATTTTATTTTTTGATGTAACTCTAAAACAAATAAATGAAGGTAGGTACATAATCGTTTTTCGTATTCAATAATATTATAGCGTTGAATTCAAATTTAATACCATCCATTACAGTGACCTACTTGTAACCTACTRTACAGCAGAATGGCATCCACTTTTTAAACTAGTAACAAAAGTGTGAACAAGCCTGGTCTGGCCGAACACAAGCCGGCCCAGCATTTTAAAATACCTAATCAGAAATCTAGGTTTTTATGTTTAATAATATTATATATTACATACTTATTACTTATTAGATAATATTTTAATTTATAATTTCACCATTATAATATTAATAAAATATATATATTTTTATACCAGCAGCGGACAACCGGGAAATTTCCCAGTATCCCGGCCGTCCAGTCCGCCACTGGCTTCAGCTCACTCGCAAACAGCGTATAGTCAATAACACAACATGAAAGGCACCTAGCCGCTATGGGTAGGTTATATAATTTATGTATACTTATTACTTATCATAATATTATATTGCATATAGATCGATCTTACTTATACACGTCGATGGACTTACCCATACGAAACGAACGTCACACACGCTCAAGGTGGCGAGGTTTCGGTACGATGTTGCGAACTCCATCATACCTTCACGTATAGATAGGTAGGTATGAATATAGTTGTGGCTGGTACCTGTATGTATATAGTCCAACAGGTACAGCTGCAGTCCTCCGTGTCACTGATCCGTTAGGTTTCTCTTATTTTTTTCCTTCGATTTCTTGCCGTAGTCGCGTCCTCTTCGTCGTCGCCGTCGTCGTGTTGGCAACAGCTGTGGGGACACGAACGAACCGGTGTCCGGTCATCTAAACGGTTTGGTTAACACTGACATACCGGGCACAATGGCGGTATAACTCGGTAATAATAATAAAACAAAAAAAAAACGAAATGTAAAAGAAAGTAACAATAATGAAAAAAAAATGTCCGCGCGGTGGGTATCTTTATAGGTATTGAGTATCGCGAAGCCAGGAAGAGAGGTATAATATCGGTCGGCGGTTACGCAATAACGGCGTCGTCGCCGTCTGTTGAATTAGCCTAGATTTTGTTTCCTTTTCACGTCCCTATTCGTGAGTAATACTATATAACAGACAAGCGTCTCGTGCTGTAGATAACAATATATTATATTTATATATATTATTATACATTATAATAATATATATACATATAGGTATGATCGAAAAAAAAACAAGGTGCAATCCTGCGGTAGACGTATAAAAAAAGTAATAATGTCATCTCAATGAAACACGTCCCATTTATCGTCAGGTATTGCCCGCGTATAGCTATAAGGTATAATAGGTATAATAATGTACGAATATATATGTATATATATACGCGCTGTGGTCCGCCGTGGTCACAGGTTTTCAACTCGAGAGAAACAACGCTTAGTCAACTTTACTGTACCTATTGTACCTACACCTACCTATGTTTTGTGGTTTTGTCTACATTCTATTATAACAATTACCATATATCATATCATTATATAGGTATATTATACATTATTGACTTGTTGTATATACATTCAACACATTATAAACATATCGTAATTGCGATGACCTTGCGCTGGCGTGCATATTGTCATAATAATATTAAACACTTACGTCTATATATGCAGAATAGTAGTATAGTGAATTAAATAGCGCCAGTCTGATGTTCGCTCTTAACCCTTTCCACTGAGCAACCGAAAATATTCACATTATCGCATATTATTAATATCCCCGTCGGCAGTATAGTAGTATTATAATACCATTTAATACCTACCTCATATACGTGTTCTGGTGTACGACACTACGTCGACGACTGTAGGTGCCTATAATATAAATTATTATAATAAACGCTGCATTTAGGCGTAAACGGATATAGGTACATATATAGGCGTATATAAATGTGAGTTGTTGTGCACACACCACATAATAATCGTCATTGCGACACTATCACGTGTACAATTATTGGCGGGAAGCCTTGGACGGTCGCCGTTAAAACGGCGTGTCGATTAAAAACGTTCTAAGCGTCCGTTCAAAATTCAAGGGCCCTTCGTCTTATTTCGAGTTCGCAAAACCCTCGGATTCGTTATACGCACCATGCACACCGCGGCGGTAGCGCCTTCTGCACTCGTGGGCGTACCTATATTAGGTATATTATGTTATGTATACGAAAGCGTCACAATATTTCAACACCCTCTTCTCGGTGGGTAAGAGAAAAAAAAACCTATTTTATTATCTCGGACAATAATATGAAATGCCCTCGTATTTACGCGTATTTAAAAATAATAAATCATTTACTATACTTTATTATTAGTATATTGTCCTTACGCGACCATAGGTATGTGAAACTAACTATATAGGTTAGTCTCTAGGTTATATATCTATACATTATAATTTTATGCATCACAATTCACAAGTGCGGCCGAATTATTGAATTTAAATCGTATATTAATTATTAATCTATAATCGTGTACTGCATACGATATACTACCTATATTGAAAGTGTATCTTCTGTAATGCAGCTTATGACTTTGCAAATTCAACAAATGGAAAGCGCATGAAAACGCTTACATATAGTAATATTTTAAATTAGTATATATAATATTATAAATTAGTGTCCAAAGAAACGTTTTCAACTTTGCTAGATGAAAAGATACAGTTGTATGTAAATTCTGACGCCGAGAACAAAAATAAATTAGGTAGGTACGTTAAAATCTCCTCGCGCGACTAGACGCGATTGAAATCTGGATGCGTAATATTGTTGTTAAATGGGTAATAATTATAATATTATATTGAAAATATTGTAACACGTCTGATACCCGAGGTAGGGTAATGTAACAATAATTCTTGTTATTTTGTTGATTAATCTCTGAAGGAACTCTGAAAAGTGTAGGTATTTAAACCTATATATCATTATTTAAGGCCACGGGATAATATTATTAAAATATGCCAATTGCCAATATAGGTTAATTCAACATGAATATGTTTTTGAACGGGATACTAGATTTTTTGTTCCTGACCGATTTTTCGTAARGTTTTCGTTTTCATGGTTACTTATTAACAAAAATATATTTATGATAATTCGTACATTTTCCTTGTAGAGGAAAAATGTCGATAAGAGCGTGCTATGGTTTTTTTTTTTATTAAACATTTTATTGATTGAAATTATGCAATATTTTATGAGTGTGTTTTTGATATTTTCTTTAAAAAAATTAATAAAGTATTTTTTTTTTTAAAGCGTGTAAGTCGTGGATATCGCTCTGCTTACAGTAGGTTACAAGTGGGTTACTGTAATGGATGGAATTAAATTTGAATTCAATGATATTATATCATTGTATAATATACGAAAAACGATTATGAGCGATGGCGGTTTATCTGTCTAGGATATATATTATAGATTATTAAAAATGATCAAATCTTAGATTTAAAAAGAACATTTTTTATGAATTTCTAGTTTAAAATAATTTACGATTTTTCGTGATTTTTACATATGTTGTTAAAATGCAAACTTTGAATGCTTGTAGAAAAAAAATGTGACTATGTATTTATTTTTCAACTGCTATTGTAAAAATATGTTTGGAACCTTGTATTATACGTTCAAGCTATTCAACCCGACAAATACGTTTTTATCGATATTAATTTAAAAAAAACTAATTATCATCGAAAATTACATATACCTATAAATAGTTCAACGTAAGCCGAATATTTTTGAAAATTGCACGGTGGATAAAATATACTTGTATAAACATTCTGTTAAAATGTCATGTATCTATGGTCATTTGTTTTAAAGTTACAACAAAAACCAAAWTCGATTTTGTCGAAAACTGATTGTGCGTAAAAAATTCCCGTTTTCCCCTTAATTTTTAGTTTGTTTATCCCGATTATTTAGAAAAATATTGAGATTTTTTTCTTTTGACGCCCCAAAGAACTAGATTCACTTTCTGATCGAGGTACTAAAGTCGAATATCGAAGCACTTTTACTGCCCCAAAACGTGATGACAGACACAAAAAAAAACACACATCATGGTAAAATCAATACATTCCTCGCTTTGCTAAAAAAAAAATGAAACAAAACCAAATAGGTTATATAAAAATATTAACAATTACAGTAAAACTATATTGAAATAATGTAAAACTAAAAACAGTTAATTATATTTTATTGATAATTTATATCATGTTTATCCGAAATATAGATAAACCATTTTGTAAATCATCATATACACATGTTTCTGTGCTCACCATTTGGTGATTATTATTATCAAATAATCAAATAAATATTCTTATAATTATTTTGTATAAAAGCAAGGTATTTGGGTATACATAAATAGATAATTAGTAGTCATTGGTTTAACATAATAGAATGCCCTGTATAGGATTATTACTTATGCATTTATAGCATGATAGTATGGCGTGTATACAATCACCTATTACCTGCTATTACTTGTAATACGTTATGTAGGCACAACGTTATTCTATTTCTATGACTCATAGACTATTTTTTATTTCAATTACGGATCGGTGTTTCTCGGAATTATCAAGATCTTTGTAAATTTCATCATTATTATGTAGTATTTGCTTTTACAATCGTTGTTAAAAATACTTCCGCATTTTGTCGTACATTCGATTTTAATGTTGTTTTCAGATTCTGAACGAAGCGGTAAATGTAATGATTTCACATCGATAAATGTGTGTGTTATGTATATTTTTAAATACACATTTCAAGTTCGAAGTTTTACGAAATGGGATATTTAAACAAAAATAACAATTTTAATTATTTTGTTGTAAAAAAAAAAAAAATATTAGTTTTTAATTTAGGGCCGTTCTTACAATGTCCGGTTAAAGTTAACGGGCACTTAACCGGACATAGTAGGAATCGGCCTTAAAAATGTTAACCATTGTATGTATTATWATTTACTTTACTAWACACAATGAAATTTAAAAAATATTTARATTAATTTGAATAGCTTTTGCCTATTTATACCATAAATATATTCACACCACGTTCTCAACGGCATATTACCTATATGTAGATACGATGGTATTTTAACAAACTTAAACTAGTTAATAATATGCGATTTATTTTCGTAAAACTAACGTAGTAACGTACCGTATTGATAGTAGAAAAATAAATTACTGAGATTGGCTATAAACCATAGTAATATATAAAGTTACTCATATTCRAATAAATATTATTAGAATTAAAATAGGCTGACAGAAAATCTCCACTCATTATTGTTGTTCTAATTGAATTTTAACACGTCCATATAACAGTAAGTGTTAGTTCATACCTACTCAAAATGTACATCCGACATATACTCTATACACAGCAATGTGATCTCACTGGTTTATACATTATAAAATTTAAAATATATACATAATAGCATAATACATATTATATGTCATAGACTATACTTATATGATGATTGATGGACTAAATTGAAATATAAATTTTTATAACATTATTATTGTCCGTAAATATATAATATATATGTAGGTATAAGTAATATACATGTAATGTATAATTTTAAAATTATCTAAAATTATTTACGTTTTTCTGTATCAATAAATTTAATATGATTTTTAATTTAAATTTTCGAATMTATTGTATGAATGTTAATAATTGTATGATATTTTCAATCTATTATAATCATATAGGTTTCAATTTAAAAAAGAAAACTAATTAACAATACCTAGTGAATTGAAATAAATGATTTTGCAAATATATTTATAAGTTATGAGTGGACAAAGTAGTATGATTGAAAACATCAAATTTAAATGTAATATCATAGCGCTTATATTGTACCTGTTATTGTTGGACCATGAGGTGGACGACGGCAAACGAAGGTGGGCTGACGCTCATTGACCATTGTATCCACAGTATTCATTTAAACATAATTTTATAACTTTTAGGATCTATTTAATATTATTCTGATATGCAAAAA